TGGTCCGACATGGGTGATTGGGACGTTGCAGATGGGTCCGCTGAGCCTGTACTAGGCAAACTAGAGTTCGCCGCCGAACTGGACGGGTTGCTTTCAGCAGGAGAAATCATGGCATCAAAAGCCGCCGCTTGGCTGTTACGTGTTGGCCTGGACGATATATCGTAGCAGAAGGCTTTCTCGCGACAAACGAAGGGAAGAACAGCAATAAACCGAGCAAGAATCCGCAATGATTCGCACTAGCAAAGCGTTTGATCCGCAAAGATCAGCTGATAACACTGCACGTGTAAAGCAATGAACCTTGAAACCCTGTGAAACGTCTAGAGGCCACCCCAAAGGTCACGTGCTGCAGATGAGGGAGACCGCTGGCTGCATTTGCTCACATTTTAACTTTGCCTAAATGATATTTAGCCACATAAAAAGGGTAATTTTAGTCCTTGATAGTTTTTAAATAGCAAAGCATTAAATATATATTTGTGCATATCAATACCTCATTTAATTCAGGAAAATGGAATTCTTATCGAAAGTGTGGATGCTTGTTTTGGTCTGGCACGAAGGAAAGCAAAAGGTGGCAACATTATTTCTTCAAGGTATGGAGACTTGATTTTCAGCGATCAAGATGATGTGGATAATTATGTTGATAATTATCCACACACTGGGAAGACTGCAGAGGAGGTATGATGTCTATGGCTATCCATGGTCTGTACAGTGTATTAAACTGACTGACTATCCAACCTCTTCACTTACTCTAGTCTTAAATTATAGTTGACCTTTTGTCAAATTATGATTCAAAGTTAATTTCATGAAACCTTATTCATATGTTACTATATTCACTGCTGAATAATTTTCTACTTTGTTTTCTCTCTTACGATAATTTTATGTGTAGCGGTAGGATAATGCATGTTAACCCTAGTAGCTTACATTGTGGACCACAACTTGATTAAGGGCAGAAATAAATACTTCAAACACTTATTTGAAACCTAAGAAGGTTAAGAATCCTAAATGGCTGGAGGCAAGTTACCAGTTGGCTTTTTACAAGTACGTCTAAGCGTTGCATTCCTGGAGTACTAAGAACACAACCAGCAAGTGGATAGGGCAGGGATTGAACTCGGGGCCTCCAGATTGCAAGTTCAGCACTCTAACCACTCAGCCATGCTTAATTAATTATACAGGTCAACAGAAAAACATACTTTTTCACTTGTTGTTAATACAAATTTAATTTAATTAGTTAAATAAATAACAGCTATTATACAGGTCAATTACTTACAAAAAATAGCCATTTTCAAGACAAAACCATACTTTTTTACTTACGTGTAGGGTTTCATTTTGTTGTCCTTTAATGTGTGTAAAGGGAGTCTGTTTATTTTGATTGTAAGTGCATGCATAACACATCAACTGGTGAATGATGGTAGGCAATATTGTTTTACTCTCCTTCTCTTCATAGGACTGTAACAGATTCCATGCAGGTGAAGTTCTCCCTGCCCTGCGAAGCAAAGGGAAGAACCAGCTATTTGATGAGAAGGGAGTATTTGGCAGAGTCTGTAGACATGACTTCCCTAAAAGCTTGCTAAGCATAAAATGTGGTGAAAGGTTAGACCATTAACATATTTTGAGTTGAAACTGAGGTCTAACATCGTGTAAATTCGGACTGACAAATAAAAAATTATAACAATTTTGTTACTTTTGAAGCTTGTCAGCATTTTCATTTTGTTATAGTAAACTAATTATTGATTCAGGTTTTTTACTTTTCCCACTTCTTTTTAAGATATCATATTCAGTTTATGAACTCAAGAAGATGAGGGACACAACTTCACAGAATTCCTTGAAGTTTTATTTTGATGTATGACATTGCTTGCTTATTATCAAGTCACTTGAAGGTAAATATTATCTTATCATTTTTGTTGTTGTTTTTAGGTTTAACTTTCTTGGGCGACATCTAATCTTATCAGTAAGTAACCAGTTTAAACTGTTCAACATTATTTACAGTAGATTTGTGCATTACTAGCAACAGTAAACTACGATGTCATTAACATAATATAGTGAGTACACAAAATTGATGCTCATGAAAGAAATGTGCATTGTACATAACTTCTATTGTGGTGAACATTGCACTCATCTTGTTTACCTAATACACTCAGGTTTATCACAGTGGAAAATGTACTAAGCACCTCTTTGATTGCCATGTCAATTGTCAAATAAACCTTTTGTAGTGGAAATGTAAAACGTACATTTCTTTTTTGTAGTTTTAACTCTTCAGTGGTATGAAAAGTATGTTAAACTTTTGAAGACTTCTGGAAAACTAAAATACCAGCTTGACTATGCCAGGGAAGAAGAGCCCTCCAAAGTTGACATGCTTGAGAGGAAGATATCCAGGTATTTTTAATAGTTACTAGGCATTTATGTAAGTAATGACCTGAAATGGAACCATCATGTAAAAGTTATAGTGCAAAAGGGAAAGAGGAGGCTTTACTCTTTAAGGGTCCTTAAGCAATGTGGTGCATCTCCAGCTTCACTGGCTAAGGTTTATGCAACCATCGTTCGTCCTGTTTTAGAACATGCTGCCCCTGTCTGGCAAAATATACCAGATTTTCCATCTTATAAGATTGAGAGCATTCAGAAAAGGGCTATGTGCATCATTTTTCCTTTAATGAATTACAACGAGGCATTAAAATGCCCTTAATTTAACAACTCTAAGGGACAGACGCGCCCATCTATGCCAGGTTTATATTGATAGACTCCGGAATGAGAATCACCCCTTGCATTTTATGCTCCCCAAACAGGAGGAGGTTGTACATAATTATAATCTTAGATCTGGCATTAGCCACTCCACGCGTCCTACCTGTAGGACCAAGCGCACGCAAGAGTTTGTCACGCATAAGTATACCTAGTGGCTTGTACAATTATATTTTTCTAGTATTTATTGGATTTATTGTATTATATTTTAGTATTATATGTTTTGTAAATAGCTCTGTAATTCAGCCATTCTGTATATTGCTGCAATGAGTCTTAGTAAGCAGACAAAAAAAAAAATTCCTCAAAGAAGTACCTCTATCCCGTCAAATTTTTGTGTATTATCATACCGAGATATTATTGCTCGCTCCAGAAATGGAAGTATTTCTGTTGGAGTTGAAAGCAAAATATGCAGGTTTGCATGCTATAACACTACTAAGAAAATCAATTTCGGAGGGCAGGGAGGTTGCCTCGAGAATTTTATTATAATGGATTTAACTTAATATTTCAAAGCGCCTTTCCTAGAAGTCGTCTCGCCTGTGAACAATGTGAATGTAGATATTTTTCATATTTATTTAAAAAGAACATTGGTTGCAACCTTCTGTTGCCTTATATGTCCAGTAATATAACAGTTTCTTCACCCTGGGCTTATCACCTTGTCGTGGTGGTGGAGCTTGCATGTCTCAATGAGCCCAATAGCGATGCTGGCGGGGGTTTTATCCCCGGTAAGGTGAAAAACCTGATTTTGTCATTTTTGGCACATTAGGTCTTGAATTTAACCAAAACGCCCGTGGACATTGGCCTGAATTTCATCCGATTACTTTGAGTGGTTATTACTCTCTCAGTAACGTCTGAATCGGCTGGCCATTAATGCCCGTCCAGTGACGTCACTACTCGAAATTTAATTTATGCAAATGTATCAGTTCCCGCTTTCCCTGGGCTAAATGTCACCAGGGGGGTTTCAGTCTGGGTTTCTGCGAGCGAGTCTTTAAAGCCGCAAAAACAATGTAATCGCTCATAATACGAAGTACGAAGTATGTCTACAGCCCGTTTTAAAAGCAACTGACAGATACGCCATATCTGGAAAAAGCACTTCGTGCAGTTGGTTAGAGGAAGAATTAAAGTTGTTGAAAATCCCACACCAAAGCGATGGCTTCTTGTGCAAGGCCTGTCGGAGGAGAGTCGAAAAATACAGAAAAATTAAAGAAAACCTTAAAAAGTGTGAGGAGGAGATTAGAAGCTCAAGCTCCTCGAGTACCTGCACCAAAGAAAACACACAAAAAGAAGAAAACATTGAGTTAGACAGCCCACTTTCAAGCCCGGCTAAGAAGAAACGTCGCATTTTATACCCTGACATAAGCTTAAATAGTTCTGCAGATTTTGCCCCTTTAAGTGCCAGCACACCCGAAAAAGCTACTCTGCCCGACCCGCCTCCTTTTCGATTGACCCAGGAAAAGCCAAAGAGAATAGTTAAGGTAAGAGAATTACCGAACAACGATCTTTTTGTCATTATCGCTTAACTCTTATTTTTGGCAGAAAACAACCACAATAGAAGCACGCACCTTGCATGCAACGTTGGTCTTTAGTCAAGCTTAACTGTGTTTAAAAACAACTTCTTTTGTTACTATTAAAAGGTTAGAGAAACCTTAAATCATTCCATTTTTATTCATTACATCACCATAACATCGGGAGGCGAAATCTTTTTAAAAAAGCTGTATCGAAATATTGAATCTCCACGCGAAAAATACAACGATGCACAAGGCCATCCTCTTTTTTTTTCCATTTAGTATCGTTCGACCGACCCAAATTTTTGGCATTATCAAAAAAAAATAATAAGGACGTGGTGGAATCATTCTTCACTTGAAATAATTCTTTAGCATAGTAACAGAATAGAGAAAAACCGCAACAAAAACAGGAAAATTACAGTATAATTATTGTGCATTTTGTTAAACCAAATATGTGAATGTTAACTTTTACCGTTGTCCCGTACCGGGGCCTCCTATACCGAGACTTTTTGTGACCTTTTTTTTTCCTTTTCTTTTTCAATCCGACCGACCGACCCAATATCAGGAAATGCATTCAACCCTAAAATCTGAAAAACAAAGGGAGATGGCATAAAGCTGATGAAGTTTAAGGAAACAAATCTACTGATTGTTTTGTACCTTTTAAAGGTCAGTGTCAAGTGGCCAAGTGAAAAGTATCCAAGAGAAAGGGAATTGAACGACGACCTTGTTGCGCTTGGAATAGCTCTTGTACGTGGAACATACACCCAGATGGCAACTGCTATTTTCAAAATAAAGCCTCTGAAACAGAGCATCATCCAGTGTCTTCTAAAAGAGCTTTCAAGAGAATCCGCAAATCTGACCAGTAGGAAGAACCCTAGCATTCTCAGAAAAACTTTGATAGACGACATGAGAAACTTTAAACTTGAGAATATTTGTAAACAATTGAGCACAAGGGCACCACTACTGTATTCCACTCTGCTAACTACTGCAATCTTCTTGTCCAAAAGGAACAAATTCGCCCCCCTCCCCACCCCTGGTGCAATGTTGTTTTGGCCTAACAGCTCAAGTGTGCATTTCTTTTGTTATCGCAGACAACATTACAAAAGGGGAGGGGGGAAAAGGTCTTTTAATTTGTGACGGTAAGCATTTTTGTCAGTGTGAGTGAAAAAAATAGGTATTTTTGTAATGTGTCTCAACAGGTTTTGTCCGAGGTTGTCTACAGGTGTTTTTCTGCATTTTTTATCTGTGATGTCAATTACTACGAGTCATTGTTATTTTTTTAAGTGAAATGAATGAAACTTATTGTTTGTGAACACTTTTCACTTTGGTGGAATGATTAAAAAAAATTTTTGGCTGAAAAATGAAGTTAGGTCTGTTACATTACACGGGGTGTGTAATGCGTTTTTCTCTGTAACGTTACCATGGACACATTTTAAAACAAGTTGCTCGTCCCTAAATGCTGTACTTGCGAGAGTAACGACGTTCTCTCGTAATTACCGACCTAAGTGGAACTCTTATGATCTTATGATAGCGAGGATACATCTTCAGAGGACTGTGAATCATTTCAGGAAGCGCTAGGTGAGAAAGAAGTAAGATCGCAAATAAACTATTGCATGTCAGTCCGATTAAACCTGGATAAAGGGTGCGCTCTTCTTAAACGGAGGCGCCATCATTTTAGTAAACGCTTTACGTTACGCTTTTAACATGTCACCAGTTGTAGCTGTGACAACCACAAAAAAATCCGGAAAACACTACCATCTATGTGTGAAGCTTGATCGCAATCAACGCTGGCTGTCGTCGAAGGAGTTTTTACGCAATGAGTATGGGATAAACGCGAACTACTCAAGCAAGCACCATAACTACTACAGTGCCTGGACATACGTAACTAAAGAGGATGAGAATTTTATTGAGAGTGCTTGCCATCCGGACCTTAAGAATGCCAGCGAACCGAAAACAAGTGCCGCAAGTCGTGCTAAGCGGAATAACAAACACAAAAGGAAGCTGCAAACGAAAATCATAGCGATGAGGATGATCAGGAGAGTGACGACGATAAGCGATACTGATGTGTACGTCTAGGAGGAGTGCTAGCACCAGAAAGAGAAAGCGTCTTACAACATTCGAAGTGACAGAAAATTATAGTTGAGAAAAACGTGAAATTGCTGGTAGAACTGCAAGCTTTGGCTCACCAACAGAAAAAAGAGGGCAAAACGGATCTTGTTGAATTCCTAGTAAATCCCACGCCAAGGGCCGTTGCAGATATATTGAATACCGCGTGGGAAATTGAGAATGCTGCTGACAAACTGGCACGATCTAAGAAAACTTGCCTAGAGTTATTGTAAGAAGCGAAAGAAAAAGAATGCACAGAGGGTTGTGATGGGCTGTGGAAGATTTGTGCCGAAGAAATCCTAGCCAATAATCAGGTCCCACTACAAGTATTTTGCCACGCAGTGTGTGATTTGCTGATAAAGGGAAGGGGTAAATACCGGAACATTTTGATCACTGGCAATGCGAACTGTGGTAAAACTTTCATACTTAACCCATTGACCTTGATTTTTAACACTTTTTGTAATCCTGCCTCCGGGAGCTTTGCCTGGGTTGGGGTTCAAAACGCTGAATGTATTTTCTTGAACGATTTTCGGTGGCCGCCACAAGTTATACCGTGGCATGATCTGTTACTTATGCTAGAAGGTCATGTTGTGCATTTACCGGCACCGAAAACTCACTTTACAAAGGATATTTCATTAACTAGTGACACCCCGATATTTTGTACGGGAAAACATAGGCTCATGTACATCAAAAATGGAATTGTGGATGAATGGGAATGCGGTATGATGGACGTTAGGTGGAAGATATTTCATTTCACGTATCAGATCCCGCGGGAACAACAACGAGGCCTCCCGTCATGTGCCAGGTGTTTTGCAGAGCTTATTGTGCCCTCATTAACATAGTGGCTTGGTTGTACACGGTTAACTTAATAAAGAGAACCCAACAGAGAGAAAACACCACGGTTAACATCAGCTTACAACGGTTAACAACTGTATGGAATAAAACAATAGACTATCTTGTTTTTCTTTATGAAATGCTGTTAACCGTTGTTAATCGTTCAAATAACTATGTTCCAGTTTGTTAATCGTTTAATTTTTGCATTTAATCATTTTCGTAGTCTTCTGCTGATTTGCTAGGCGAGTTTTAATATTGACAGCGGGCATTTGTAGCGGAAAAATTCACATCGTCATGGTAACCAGATACTATACAGTCCTTTTTTACGGTTAGTTTGTCACTCGCGTGACGTAGTATCCTTACTAGAATATAGGCACGTGAATAAAAAGCCATGGTTTCATCTCCAAATTCACTGTTTCTACTAATTGGGCAAGTGTATGCCTAGTATTTTGTTCTCTGTCCCTTAGAATTTATAACTAGAGAAATCCGATTATCCATTGATTCTATGATTTTGTCAACTACATCAACTGGCATGTTCGTAATTGTTCTAATCACACGCTCACTGAATTCTTCGTAAGTTTCGTGTGTTATATTTAACTCAAGAGCTTGCTTATCCAGCTCTACTTTAACTGTATAAGAAAAATTTTTTTATACAATGAATATCACCACTCCTCGGGGGAAGTTTCAACTGCTTTGCTTTTTTAACATGTACCGCGTGGCGCGCTGACGCGCTATTTTGAACCGGACAGTTGTCCTGTACAAACAATCGTGACCCACTTTTGTTCGCTATTCTAAACATGTTCTCAAAATTATCCTGTACAAATTCGGCAAAGTACGTGCCGTCTAGTTTATCATACTGATGACACACAATAGCTCCTTTGCCGTAACTAGTAGCCACAACCACTTTCACAACTTTTCCACCGCTTCCCACTTTGCCTCCCTCTGCAGTGCAGCCGCGCATAAGTCCCTTGCACTTCTTGCGCCAAATATGGCCGTGAGGCGCACTGGCTTGATCTGCTGGGTTCCTTTTATACCAAAAACTAAGGCAATCTAAATAAAAAGCTACATCGTCTTTCCAAACATCCTTTGAGTAGTCTTTTCTCATATGTTTGGCGAATTTTAAGCGTTCTTTTAAGTCCTTTTCTGACAGAAGGCCCTTTTTCCTTGCTTGGAGGAAACGGTAACCTTTCCTTTGAAGGAATCGCCTGATGGTTCTGTTAGTCACATGTTTTGGGCTTATCCCAGCTCTTGACATTAGCCTAATGGATGTAAAGTTACCTTCTTCGTGTCTCAAACTGTACAAAGTTTGTAGAATTTTGCGTTCCTCTCGCAAGCTCAGTTTTCGGGGCCTTCCTCCCAAATTTCTTCTCTTTTCTAGCTGTCAGTTATCCTCTCCTTTTTTATCCTGTAGACCGTGGTTCGGAAACATGGCATTGTCTCACTATATCCTTTATCGATAATTTCTTTTCTTGTGTTAAATACATAATATAAGCCCTTTTGAACAGGTTGATTTCACCATTAAACACCATGATTTCTTTCCCGTGCACCTAGTCGGCCGTTAAATATAGTGGCATCTTTTTGACGTCACAATTGACGCGTTCTAATTGCTTAATTGACGTTTCCGATACTTTGGCAGAAAGCTTATTAAAAGGGCAATAACTGGGCCAAAAATCACTATCTTCTGAACTTCCATTGCGAGGATACAGCAATTTGAACTATGAGCCATCTCAGACAACCCTGGACAAAACTGTTGAGACATTTCAATGCAATTTTCAATTTCGCGCCATGCAATCTTCTTGTCCAAAAGGAACAAATTCGCCCCCCTCCCCACCCCTGGTGCAGTGTTGTTTTGGCCTAACAGCTCAAGTGTTGCTCAAGTGTGCATTTCTTTTGTTATCGCAAACCACATTGCAAAAGGGGAGGGGGGAAACGGTCTTTTAATTTGAGACGGTAAGCATTTTTGTCAGGGTGAGTGAAAACAATAGGTATTTTTGTAATGTGTCTCAACAGGTTTTGTCCAAGGTTGTAGGTTGTCCTAAAACCGATCACTATTATAGACAAAGGTACTCGAACTGAGATAACCCCCTCACTGGTTGTACTTGTTGAAAAGGAGGGAAAAGGTATTATAGTCTATTCAATTTTTTAACAATCAAATCTTAGACTGATAGTTTTCTGTGCATAACCAACGTAATTAGATCAATTTTAATTCTTTAAACAAACAATGGTTAAACTAAAACATGCTTGAAAAGGTAACAAAATGGCAAAAGTTTTTTTGTTATTATTCTCAGTTATAATGCAATGAAACCCATATGTTTTATTTGTATTTTTTAGTATTGTTTCAAGTTAATCTACTTCTCTTTAGGCACTTTATTCAAGACTTTCAACATTAAAGGTCACAGTCAGCAACCCAACCTTTCTAAAAAAGCTTGATGAGTATGGGAGCAAGTTTGATGAGGTAGTGAAGGAAGGGAAAGAAAGGGTTTCTGCTTGCTTGAAGAAAAAAGCCAAATTGGAAGAAAAGAGGGAAGAGCTAGCTATGACCCAGGATTTAGCTACTGCGACAACTTCTACAGATGCAGCCTCAGGTCTCCCAGAATCATCTGCAAGTACAGTACACGGACAACAAGTTTCAAGTAGTCAGCTTAAGCAAGTAGAAGATGAAATCAATGCATTGGATCAGTCATCTGTTAGTGACATGCAGTTTGTCATTGACAATTTTGATCTAAGACAGAATGTTAGAGAGATGACTTGTGACAGCCAAAACAAGGATTACCATTGGACCAAACACAACTGTCTTCTTAACAGAGTGTCAGGTGCTCACTTGGACAATACCAAACCTGTTTGTGACATAAATGACTTGCCTTATGGCACTCTTTTACCTCAGGCAAGGGATCACTTGAAAAACAGAGAAAACTACATTGTCCTTGTTCAAAGGGTTTTTGTTGAATGCATTCCAGCATTGCGTTTCCTAAAGGATGCTGTTAAAAAACATATTCCCCACGAGTACAGTAAAGAGATGGGTCAAAAGACAACAAAGGTACAACATGACACTATTGTGAAATAATTCTTGTGGTTCATATTCTAACTTGGTCCATAGAAATCAACTTTTCCTTTTAATAGTGTCAAACACTTTGTCATACATAATCAAAAACTAAAGGTATATTAGGTTCTAACCAAATATAAAATTGAACCACAACATAGGGTCATAATTTCATTTCAATCCCAAAAGTGGAATTGTGTTAATTTTAACTTGAAATCACCAAACAATATTAAATACTATCTGGTGATATTTTTCTTCAAGTGCTGATAATTCTGCTTGATCATTGACTTTTGGAGTGTTACAAAATTATGTACAATTGTACAAGATGAGAGCCTTTTTACATCAAAAGTGCCTTCTTAGTGTACCAGGCCCAGTTGTTTGAAGGCTGATTGGCATTAACCCAGGGTTACATTTTAACCTGAGGTTCTCTTCCTTAGTTCAAATGCATTTTGTCAGATAATTTTCACTATTCTTTTTAGAGCATCCAGTCATCAAATTGAAGACTAAATGAATGAAGTTTCTTTCTAAGACTTCATATTCAAGTTATGCACTAAACCTGGGTTTATCGTTTTTTTAGCCCAGCCCCAATGTATAATCAAAGATTGAAGTCATTGACCTGAGTACTATGATAAGTCGATGTACAACTATCCCCTTCCCTTGAGTGGTACAGTCTCAGTCTTTACCTGAAGGAAGGGGTACAATTCTCGGTTTTCACATGACATCACAGTATTTTCCAAGTATGGACGTCCACCATATTTGTGCCCCTCGAAGTGGAATATTTTAAGTGGAGATTTGCTCTATGTGTATAGTTCTCGCGTTTTCGTGGCTTTTCTGCGGACTCGGGTTGGATTTATCCCCCAAAAACGAGAAGGAAGAAATAGAGAAGTTATGCAGCAAGATTCCGGTGCTTTCTGAGTATGCCACGGTCTTAGAAAGCCATGTTAAGCTGCGATACCTCAAGAACATTTCTGTAGTCGGTATTGACCCATTCAAAATCTCATGTGAGCAGTTCAATACGGAATGTTTGCCACCAATCGAACAATCTGATTTATTTGGTTACCTAGTTCTGCAGACCAGTTACTACACAAAGGACCAGTTTAAGAATTACAAGAGTCTAGAAGCATACAATCAAGTTGTATCAAGGTTTGTGACTTTAGTGAGCAGAAAGATAATTTCCGGAAAGTATGTTGTTGCAGCTAAAGTGAGACATTCGCAACGAATGAACGATCCACTCGTCAACGTTTAGATTATAACTGAGATTGAAGGTGAAATAATTTCTGCTCACTGTTCAGGTTGTAAAGCTGGGCTCGCCGAATCATGTTCGCATGTCGCCAGCGCCTTAATATACATCGAATGCTGGGCATGTGTCAACGGAAAGATGGCATGCACACAAGTGAAATGTTCATGGCTTCTGCCAACTTACATGAATGAGGTAACCTATGAGAGAGTTAAGGATATTGACTTTACCTCTGCGAAAAAGTTGAAAGAAAACCTTGACATTAAAACTGACTCCCTTGATCAAAACAAAGCGACTTTGCGTGAAACTCAACCTTGTGAAGCAGAGACCGCCGCTCATTCGCAGCTGGCTTCAACAGAGGAAATGGAAAAATTTTATGAAGCACTTCATCTTTGTGAAACAAAAGCTGTTGTGCTGAGTTTAATCGACCCATATGCTGAAAAGTTTGTGGTAAAAAAGTCGGAATGTACCAGTCCTATCAGATCTTTATGACACAAGCTTTTTAGAACTTGATTATCCAGGATTGTTGCAGAAGTGTGCCGATGTCAAAATTATGTTGTCAGATCAGTACATTGAAATTGTTGAACAGGACACAAGAGATCAAGCTAGGGGCCCTAAATTTTTTAGGCATAGAGCAGGTCGAATCGGAGCCTCTGTAAGTGGTGCGGTCTATCACAGCAATGTAGCACAACCTTGACAGTCACTAATAAAGTCAGTTTGTTATCCGCATTTGTACAAAGTGAACACCAAGGCAATTAAACATGGCTGCAAATATGAAGAATATGCTATTAAGGCATATGAGACACATATCAAAAAAAGACCATGTCAACTTTCAAGTAACACGATATGGGCTGTTTATTAGCAAGCAGTACCCATTCCTGCATGCCACACCTGACTTCTTAACATCTTGTGACTGTTGTGGGTTGGGGTGTGGCAAAGTAAAATGTCCCGTTTGTATCCTAGATTGTGACTTTGACAAATACATTCAGAAGAAAAGCTCTTGTTTGGAAAAAGTCAAAGGAACCTTTAAGTTAAAAAGGACACACAATTATTACTTCCAGGTGCAGCAGCAGTTGTTTACTCTGCCAGAGAGAAAGTTTAATGACTTTGTTGTCTGTGCAATTGACTCTGGTAAAAATGCACACCTAGTAACTGAGAGAATTTATCCTGACCTAGAGCATTCAAAGAGAGTCTTGCCAAAACTTCAAGAATTTTGGAGAATTTGCATTCTCCCAGAAATCCTGGGGCAATGGTTCACAAGGAGGTGTGATGTGCCTAGAAGTGTTCCCGATGAGCAAGGTATTTGTTTTTGTAGAGGCCAAAACAGTAATTATGTGGTATCATGCAGTAATGTAGAATGCCCTTACGGAAAGTTCCACATCTCATGTTTATCTCTCAGAGAGGTGCCTACACTGAAAACCTGGTACTGCCCACACTGCTGTAGGCTACCTCAGTTCAAGCCAAGCAAAAAGTCAACAAAAAGTAAGCAAGCATCTGCTGTGACTCAGGCTGCCATGCTGTGTGGCACCATTTGCATTTGTAAAACTCAGGCAACAGAAACTGACAGACTACTGGAGTGCCATAGTACAGGTTGTGGAAATGGACATTTTTTTCATTTGGGTTGTTTGGGGCTGAAAAGAAAGCCAAACAATTCGAAAACAACATGGCAGTGTGAGGCTTGCAGAAAAAAACCAAAACCCACCGTGAAGTTTGTTAAACTTACCACTTCTACTTCTTCTACTGATAATGAATCATCAGTAACCCCTATGGCAACAGCTTTGACAGTATTAAGCGATTCCAACAGTGACAGTGAAGATGAAATTTCCATCACCATGGAAACAACAGGCACTGTGAACAAATTTAGTGCCTTAGCAACCCTGGATTGTTCAGACTATGATATTATTAATGACTCGTCTGGGTGGCTTACCTATGACATCGTTGAAACAGTACAAGTGTTATTACAACAAGTAGACCCATTGCTTGAAGGCCTACAGCGTCCAACTCTTGGATGCGTTCGAAACTTTGATGCTGTTTCTGGTGAATTTATTCAAATTCTTCATACAGGCAGTGATCATTTGGTCTGTGTAAGTTCCATAGGATGTTTGCCTGGGAAGGTAGGGCTTTCTGACAGTTTGTTTCATGATGTCATAAGTCAAGAGATAGAGGAGCAGACGAATGACTTGCTAGGTGGTCATTTGGTGGAACTTGAGTTTGTTCCAGTTCAGCAGCTCTGTTTACTATCGCTGACACCCCACAAGCGTTAACGGAAACGACAGAGAGAACGAAACCCTTGTTTAGGATTCGTACATTGAAAGCTGTGGGAATCTTACGCAGGGGTAAATCGTCGGACAGAATTGGCACAAAAAAATAAGCATGTTTCCTGTTTTTTAACTTACTGTCAGTTTTATTCATTGACTCAAACCATAGAGTAGAGTTAATCACTTTCTGCAAGCAAAAAAGTGAACTGAAAGATATCTACTGTAGTGTATGCAAATTGAACCTAAAGCTGCAGGGGTACATGTAATATAAAATGTTACAACACTCTCAACATTATTTTAATAAGCTCCAGATACATCTTACTACATAAGAACATTTTGACTCTTGAAAAAGAATGGCTTTTCCCTTCTCGTAAAACCCTTTTTTTCTTTTGAAAAAATGGGCCTGGGTTTTTATTATTATTATAATCTATTTTACTACACATCGTATTTCCAGAACTTTTTAAAACAATGTGTAATAAAGCTATTATTTATGTCCATTTAGGTTTTTTGATAACTACAATGGGCTTGGTCCCTGTAATACTAGCCTTGGCTGATTATGAAGTTTAAATTTATAAATAATGATACCTTTATAACAGTCATTACCCGCAAAGTAGCTAATAAAAGCTGGAACAATCCGAATTCTCATTTCAGTTCCAGGGTTGTCGCTAAGATTTCGAGTTTCTGGGTAAATACAACAAGTAGGCGGGGAATCAAACACCGAGGGGTTTCTTTTGGTTCTAATTTTCTTCTATTTTCCAATAAAAGTAGCCCGGGGCCACACTCATAGTAGCCGGGGGAAATCCCCGGCCCCCACTCTCCCCCTTTTGTATTTACTTGTGAAACAAAGGAAGAATGTCTCATCAGATCAGGAGTCACTTAGGGCCTTATTCCATGTACCTCTTTGATCGAAAAATAAAATTTACAACAAGATAGTACCAAAATCTCATCAAAATACGTGTATATATTTTTATATTTCATTGATTTAGAGCAAACTGATTTTTTTTATGTGCTGTGTGTTGTTCCAGGAAATACTCATTCTCCATTGATTTGCCATTGTGTATGTAGGAGGGGTGGGGTGGGGGAACTTCTTGCCATTAGTTCACACTGCCTGCTAAAGAGTTTGGCTTACAAGAACCCCTCCCAGTCATGGTTTAAATGACCCCGCTTGGGTTTGTGTGGATATCTTTCTGGAACCACACATTGCACTTGTTACCCGTCACCTCACTGGTTAAGGACATGTTAGCTATCAGTCTGAAGGTTGCTCACGAAAGAGCAATGTCAGTTTTTTGCCTCCCCAAGAACAATAACAACTGATACATATTTTACAAAATAAATACAAGAATGTTTGTGTTTTACAAAAATTCAAAGCTCTCTATACACACTTTACAAAGACATTTTTACCATTCAACATGTGACATAATTTAAAGCAGTGCATCTCCACCTTGCCTTGCTGAAACAGGTGTGTCACAACTGTATAATTTGGCATGAAACTATTATGAGACACTGAACTAACACTTAAAACTTATCTTGAAAAACATTTTGTAGCTTGAGCTGAAACTTTTTACATGTCCAAGCCCACGTTTTATGGTCCCTGTCCTCACAAAAAAGTACACACCATAAGAATATTAACCCTTTTCACTCCCATACTGAATAATACAGTGTAGTGTTGTAAGGTGGTTCTGACTTTTGAGTTTCTGGACAAACTGTTAGGGTTAACATTCAAATGAAACCCCTTCAACAGTACTTTCCTATGGTGCTTTTTGTTTTCAACATTTTACAAAATGAAATTTGGAAATTTTGCTGACTTTTGACTTTAACTACCTCTGGGAGTGAAAGGGTTAACATAGTTATGTCTTATCATTTCAAACTTCTAAATGTAACCAAAAAGGACATGACTAATCTAAGGGTACTATTCCAGTGCATAAATTCACAAGAGCAGAGCAAACCCTCACTATTCTGTCAATTATGGGAACCTGGGAATCTGTTGCTTCATTAGCGCTACCCCTAAGAAAGTCTGTTGGTAAAGTACCCTCTAAAATTGTGTACTTACAACGGAGAAGTTCAATAACTCTTTCGACATGAATGCGAACGCTCGCAATACCTCGGGTCTTCTCTACATCTACTGGGTCTAGCTGTGACTTCCCCTTAGTAAGCGCTGGAATGATAAGTTTAGCTTGTTTTAGTCTGTGAAGCCTCTGTCCGCCATAACCATGTCTCCTGGTAAAAGTTTGTCAAGAAATCCACAATTCTCAGTAAGGAACTTGTCAAAGGTTCTACCCCCCAAGCTTCAGAAAATGATGAAATAGATCACTGAGGGGTGATGCCTATTAAAATTTTTCTAGTGTCGTGATGGTTATGTGAACTATAATGTCTGTGCTCTTGCAAGCAAATTTGATGGTTTCTCAACGAAAACCTCAAAACAATCGATTATAACTGTCACCTTGTTGCCAAAGGCGTATTTAAAGCACATTGGCATTGTTTTGCAAAGATTCTCTCTCTCAGGCCAGTGAACAAGCCAACACAACCTGTAGTCCATAGATCCAGTGCCTGAGTACGGCGACTCACGTGTGGCGCCACATGGTTAAAAGTTGCTACGATAACCTGGTAGGATGGTAACCCTGTATAAAAGCGAACTTTATCATCAGATCTGAAATACTCTCTGTCTGGAGCTTGATATGTTGGCCTATAAAACGTATTCAAACTCCTCGGTTTGTGTTTCGGCGTCTTTTGAAGGCTCTGAGACGCTTCCTTCAGCGTGGTTTCAGCATGGCTTGTAGTACCAGTCGTGGAACTAGAGGCCTCTGATGGCTCCATTTCTGTCACATTGGCAATGCCAGGATTTTCCTCGACTTCTTCTGTTGAGGTAATTGTGCTAGTCTCTGTGAAGTGGATATCAACAACTCGATCGCCACTCACATTTAGATGTTTTCTCTTCTCGGCGACTTCGACTTCCTGTCGTTCAATAGAGCGTTTCCTGCGTTCCTTTGCTCTTTCGGCTCTTTCTTCTACAGCTTTCTGGTTTTGTTCTTTCCGTTCGTTTCCCTCATAGTCTCTTTTACCGGGATTTAAAGTCAGTACCCAATCGATGTTGTGCTTGTCCCATACAGCTGCAGCCTTCCCTGAAACGAAATGACGATCACAAACACGTTCGCTTTCTAGGATATCCTTCTCCTCAGTGTCGCCACGGCTGACCGCCAAAATCCATCGATTTCTTCTCTCCCGTGTCAATTCTTCCCATTCCTCGCCTTGATTTGTGATAATCTTTGGTATTTTACTGAATTTTGTGTTCTGTTTACTGCTTTTTGCCCCGCAACCGACCACAATACAGAGAACCATCTCAAACTCACGCACTCGCGTCTTAGATTTGTTTACATTTCAGGGGCACAAAGGTGGCGGATAGCAACTGTTGCCAAGGTCAGTGTCACATGAGTGAAAACTGAGAATAATTATCATTATTGTTGTAGAGTGGTGACAGTAAGGTCAGATTAGAATTAACTTTCCCTTTAAATTATGAATCTAAATACAATTATAAAATATTTTTATCCACCCCATGGAAGGTAAAATGGTCATCCTGAGAAACATTTCAATCCTCTTCTTATCATTGACTTTGTTCCTGGTCTACCAGGCATGTCAAGGTATCATTTTTGAAAATGAAAACACAACTGAAGGTATGTTTAATGTGCTGAGGAGGATACCTTCCTATCTACCAAGTAAAGGAGAAGGAGAGGATCAGCATTTTGTTTCAGCTAATGTCATTGTTGATCAACTCACTGTAGACAGGGCTGTCAATGCATTAATGGCGCAGCAAAATGGCTATACAGAAGAGGAGAGAATGACAGGTTTAAACATCGGAATTGCAGAATATTTTACAGGTAATTATAATGGAAATATTTTATACTGCATTTCCTATGGTTCTCATAATACTCTGGAACATCTCATTTACCAAAATATATACATGAATTCCTGTAATCAATTTCTTTTGTTTTGCTTTTAATAGTGCAAAACGTTCCTTTCGGGGGAGGGAGGGGGCAGGATAATGGCTAAATAGAATGAGAACAGTGTGCACCATAGCTTCAAGGTTCTTGCTTTAACCAGTCAGAATTTAGTAAAGTTCCAAAGACTTCATAACTACATAGCCCTATTGAGAAGAGTCTTTAGCTTGAAAACGAGGTTATGAAAGAGAGAGAGCAAAACACACCAATATTTTTTGTATGTATTTATCTTTCAATGCAGCTGTGTTTCAAAAGATACTACTCTTCAGACTGAGGAGGAGACAAATGCACATTGTTTTGTGACAGAAACAATATCAACCGCAGACAAGTGCATATTCCCCAGACAGGGTAATGTTTACCTTAGCAGTGAAAGCTCGGATTGTTGTAGCAGCTTTGAGCATTCTTGGCATGAGTGACATCAATGGTAAGCCAACCCGCAACACTTTTCCACCAAGCTTGGCAACAGCATCAGTAGCTATCCAAAGGGTGTACCTTCGTCAGATTGCAGCAAAGGTTGTTGACACATGTTATTGATTCAGCATCTTTAAACTCGCTTTTAAACAAGATACTGACCTAGGAAGAACAAGCAGAGGTGCAAAGGAACCAAGCACAGACACCTGATGGCCGTTAGCCATGTCGTGTTCCTGACTGTCCCAAGATATTCCGCTATGATGGAAAATCAAGGAGAAAACATGAACTTACTCATGAAGTTCAGGTGGAATTGTCCAATAAGACACCCTCTGATGCACATGACAAGGTTACTCAACCAAAAACTCTTGAGGAGCCAGACAAGGCAAATGATGACATGTTCAATTATCAATGTTCTCTCCTTGATCATGGCTTGTTATATTTGAACTTTAGGGATGCTGTGGCAGAAGGTGATGGGACAAGGATCATTCGTTGTTGGAAGTTTCTCCTTATCCAGTTTTGGCAAGAATCAAGTTAATCAAAGTGTACCCTTGAAGCCTTATACCTTTTATTCCAGATTAATGCCCTTCTGACTCCATGTGAGGCACATGAGCTTAAGTGGAACAGGTCAGTAAATAATCATGGTGCAGCTGGGTGTAATGTTCCACTAGATTTAGACCTAGAGCATGACAACAATTACGTCAAGGAAGCAAACAGGAAGATGGGCAGAAATCTTACAACAACTGCAGTCACTAGAAACTGTTCTTGTTGCAAAGTTGCACACGAGCGTATTGAACTCTTTGACTCAGAATGCAAAATCAAAAAACGCTCTGGAAAGCATGTTCAGAGATCAGATGCAGAGGACCTTAGAATTCTTGTAAACCTTTTATTAAGTGAAGAGGCCTTGACTGAAACCCCTGGGCGAAATTACAACCATTACACAGCATTTCTACGAAGTCAGACCAGCAACATCGACATGTCATCATTATTCAAGTGGATAAACAAACACAAAAAGTTAATATCACTTAAAAGAAAGGCCAGATGAAATCATTACTAGCATACGACTAGTAAAACTATTCATTAATCAGAACATTTGGTATGACAGAGTCAAGCACCACTGGGTAGTTTGCTTGATGTACATTTTCTTCAACATCAACAGTGAGTTTAGTTTCGTCAAGTGAGTTCAGTGACTTATCATTTCCAGAAATGACGTGTCATTCTGAAAATATATACTAAGGTCTTCATGATCATCATTGTCCTCCTCACTCTCATCACTATCTTCACTTCTGTTCAGGTGGATTATACTATCAAATACTTCGCTGAAGATTTTACAAACTTCAACAGCATGTTTGTGCTGCCAAATTTCAGCGCATCTTTTCACATCATCAATACAAGCACAATGTTCCAAAAGTTGTTCTATTTGAGTCTTTGTAAATTCAAGGAAAAAGTTTGGGCAAGATAGGACAGTAGCCCTTCTTTCGTTTTGATCACCTTGCATAGATTTTGTAACAAGAGACTTCTGTAAAGATTGTAGTATTTTCCTCTGAGCGGTAGAGACATCACGCATTATTATAAGGGGTTTGTCATCTTGATTCCTATCCAAAGGCAAGTTAAGGGCTGGTGGGCATCCTAGTTGGTTGCATTTACAATTTCTTGCACAGTTGTCACAGCAAAGGTGGGAAACTGGTGAAACTAAGGAGGATGTAGTTTGATTGAAAGGATGCCGAAGCAATTTCCTTCTGCAGTCTTCAGAGATCAAGTACTCTTTCATGTTTTCCTCTACATGAGTGCATAATTTAGCATTAAATAAGACAACAGCATGACTTTGTTCTCCATCCCTGCCACATCGTCCGCTTTCCTGAACATAGGCCTCCAAGTTCTTTGGTGGACCAACATGAATGCATCTTCTTACCCCTTTTGTGTTCACTCCCATTCCAAATGCCACAGTGGCAAATAAAATTCTGATCAAGCCATTCTCCCTTCTAAAAGAATCCAACACTGTGTTTTTGACAGATTCAGGTGTCTTGGAGTGCAGCATTTCTACCAACCTTTTTTGGGGGTTAAGTGACTTGTCAGAGGACATACATTTGGCAAGGTTATTGGCAAACAATTGATACAGACTTGCACACTGTTTCACAGTTTGACAATAAACTAAAACCCGCTCGGCATCCTTCCCTTTCTCTTTAATTGCATCAATGAGCCATCCAAAATAGTCGTTTATTTCTTGTCCACTGTCTATTTGTTGACAAACATACACAATATATTTACGATCAGGACTCTCAACAATTTCATGAGGGGTGGTAAACTTAAGCACTTTAAAAATCTCTCTCTTCGTTTGTTTTGATGCTGTTGCTGTCAAAGCCATGAAAAGGCAAGCCATTGGAAACCAAGGAACGCAGTTCATTTAAGAAAGAGTACCATTTTCGGAAAGCCACATTACCAGAATTCCAGTCCGCCCCTAACAAAAGTGAACAGAGGCACTTCTTAATAAATTATAATGATATTGTTATAATACTTGTACTGTTAATGTCTAGTTCCAGAAAATATCTATATACCACCCTATGGGCAATTTTGCTTCAGATCCCCAGATGCCTTTCATTCCCCCATCCCCTGGAATGTTCAAGAGTTTTTCATCTTCATTGGGCCTCTCCCTGGAAAGCATATTTCTGTCATGACATCTTTGCAATTTAAATAGAATTTACCCTGAAATTAATCTAATTGCTTCGAGTCATTTTCTCCTCTCAAAGTGAGGGAGTAATCACGACTCAAAGTAATCAGATGAAATTCAGGCTAAATGGAATTGTTTCTGTGACAAAAGGAGAAACAAATCTTTTTATTAATCTTGACACATGGCTCAATAAATTCAAATTTGCTCTTTAGAAAAGACTTTCTTAGCTAATAACTAATTGTAAGCCTTAAAAAAACATTCAGATGATTACATTAAATGGTCGTTACTGAAAGCGTAATACTTATTCATTATGGAAACTGGTTAGCAAATTGATACAGCTTGCACAATTAAAAAGCTGTTTATTTTGATTTAAAAAATAAACTCAACAATCTTTCTCAGAGCCCCCTTGCAAACAGACCTTGAAAACCCACTCCTTCCTTAACTCCTGCTCAGAAATTGCCTGCTTTTGGATCCCCATCCCCTTGGAATTTCTTTTGCCCTCCATTGGGAAGTATATATACTTTCTGGAATGACACAAGGCAAAGCAAAACATGTATTGTGTAGAACATAAGGGAAGAAGACACCCCGTATATAAAAAGAAGCATTATTATTATTTACTATTATTATGTCGCTGGAACATATATTATAGTTCATTTCTCATATATACAGTAGCAATGAATTTTAACCACTTTGGAGGTCGGACAGATTTTGGCATGTTGGAGATGGACATCCCAGTATTATGTCAACAATTTAAAAAAAAAAGATCAGTTTTATCTATCACTACTATTTGAAAATTGTGGAAGGTTTGAACCCAGGAGTCATTTCAAAAGGTTGAGTTTGATTGTCCGGGTGAACATAGTCCTGAAAGGACTGTTGTTGTTGACAGTGACCGACGTTTCAACAACCTGTGCGGTAGCCATCTTCAGAGTCAAAGTGAGTTGTATCACGTCAGTTGATGGTATTATACTCTGGTTATTGATCTGATTGGTCAATTATGTCGCGATGTTATTGGTCGTCTATGTTCAATTATCAATGTTCTCTCCTTGATCATGGCTTGTTATATTTGAACTTTAGGGATGCTGTGGCAGAAGGTGATGGGACAAGGATCATTCGTTGTTGGAAGTTTCTCCTTATCCAGTTTTGGCAAGAATCAAGTTAATCAAAGTGTACCCTTGAAGCCTTATACCTTTTATTCCAGATTAATGCCCTTCTGACTCCATGTGAGGCACAGGAGCTTAAGTGGAACAGGTCAGTAAATAATCATGGTGCAGCTGGGTGTAATGTTCCACTAGATTTAGACCTAGAGCATGACAACAATTACGTCAAGGAAGCAAACAGGAAGATGGGCAGAAATCTTACAACAACTGCAGTCACTAGAAACTGTTCTTGTTGCAAAGTTGCACACGAGCGTATTGAACTCTTTGACTCAGAATGCAAAATCAAAAAACGCTCTGGAAAGCATGTTCAGAGATCAGATGCAGAGGACCTTAGAATTCTTGTAAACCTTTTATTAAGTGAAGAGGCCTTGACTGAAACCCCTGGGCGAAATTACAACCATTACACAGCATTTCTACGAAGTCAGACCAGCAACATCGACATGTCATCATTATTCAAGTGGATAAACAAACACAAAAAGTTAATATCACTTAAAAGAAAGGCCAGATGAAATCATTACTAGCATACGACTAGTAAAACTATTCATTAATCAGAACATTTGGTATGACAGAGTCAAGCACCACTGGGTAGTTTGCTTGATGTACATTTTCTTCAACATCAACAGTGAGTTTAGTTTCGTCAAGTGAGTTCAGTGACTTATCATTTCCAGAAATGACGTGTCATTCTGAAAATATATACTAAGGTCTTCATGATCATCATTGTCCTCCTCACTCTCATCACTATCTTCACTTCTGTTCAGGTGGATTATACTATCAAATACTTCGCTGAAGATTTTACAAACTTCAACAGCATGTTTGTGCTGCCAAATTTCAGCGCATCTTTTCACATCATCAATACAAGCACAATGTTCCAAAAGTTGTTCTATTTGAGTCTTTGTAAATTCAAGGAAAAAGTTTGGGCAAGATAGGACAGTAGCCCTTCTTTCGTTTTGATCACCTTGCATAGATTTTGTAACAAGAGACTTCTGTAAAGATTGTAGTATTTTCCTCTGAGCGGTAGAGACATCACGCATTATTATAAGGGGTTTGTCATCTTGATTCCTATCCAAAGGCAAGTTAAGGGCTGGTGGGCATCCTAGTTGGTTGCATTTACAATTTCTTGCACAGTTGTCACAGCAAAGGTGGGAAACTGGTGAAACTAAGGAGGATGTAGTTTGATTGAAAGGATGCCGAAGCAATTTCCTTCTGCAGTCTTCAGAGATCAAGTACTCTTTCATGTTTTCCTCTACATGAGTGCATAATTTAGCATTAAATAAGACAACAGCATGACTTTGTTCTCCATCCCTGCCACATCGTCCGCTTTCCTGAACATAGGCCTCCAAGTTCTTTGGTGGACCAACATGAATGCATCTTCTTACCCCTTTTGTGTTCACTCCCATTCCAAATGCCACAGTGGCAAATAAAATTCTGATCAAGCCATTCTCCCTTCTAAAAGAATCCAACACTGTGTTTTTGACAGATTCAGGTGTCTTGGAGTGCAGCATTTCTACCAACCTTTTTTGGGGGTTAAGTGACTTGTCAGAGGACATACATTTGGCAAGGTTATTGGCAAACAATTGATACAGACTTGCACACTGTTTCACAGTTTGACAATAAACTAAAACCCGCTCGGCATCCTTCCCTTTCTCTTTAATTGCATCAATGAGCCATCCAAAATAGTCGTTTATTTCTTGTCCACTGTCTATTTGTTGACAAACATACACAATATATTTACGATCAGGACTCTCAACAATTTCATGAGGGGTGGTAAACTTAAGCACTTTAAAAATCTCTCTCTTCGTTTGTTTTGATGCTGTTGCTGTCAAAGCCATGAAAAGGCAAGCCATTGGAAACCAAGGAACGCAGTTCATTTAAGAAAGAGTACCATTTTCGGAAAGCCACATTACCAGAATTCCAGTCCGCCCCTAACAAAAGTGAACAGAGGCACTTCTTAATAAATTATAATGATATTGTTATAATACTTGTACTGTTAATGTCTAGTTCCAGAAAATATCTATATACCACCCTATGGGCAATTTTGCTTCAGATCCCCAGATGCCTTTCATTCCCCCATCCCCTGGAATGTTCAAGAGTTTTTCATCTTCATTGGGCCTCTCCCTGGAAAGCATATTTCTGTCATGACATCTTTGCAATTTAAATAGAATTTACCCTGAAATTAATCTAATTGCTTCGAGTCATTTTCTCCTCTCAAAGTGAGGGAGTAATCACGACTCAAAGTAATCAGATGAAATTCAGGCTAAATGGAATTGTTTCTGTGACAAAAGGAGAAACAAATCTTTTTATTAATCTTGACACATGGCTCAATAAATTCAAATTTGCTCTTTAGAAAAGACTTTCTTAGCTAATAACTAATTGTAAGCCTTAAAAAAACATTCAGATGATTACATTAAATGGTCGTTACTGAAAGCGTAATACTTATTCATTATGGAAACTGGTTAGCAAATTGATACAGCTTGCACAATTAAAAAGCTGTTTATTTTGATTTAAAAAATAAACTCAACAATCTTTCTCAGAGCCCCCTTGCAAACAGACCTTGAAAACCCACTCCTTCCTTAACTCCTGCTCAGAAATTGCCTGCTTTTGGATCCCCATCCCCTTGGAATTTCTTTTGCCCTCCATTGGGAAGTATATATACTTTCTGGAATGACACAAGGCAAAGCAAAACATGTATTGTGTAGAACATAAGGGAAGAAGACACCCCGTATATAAAAAGAAGCATTATTATTATTTACTATTATTATGTCGCTGGAACATATATTATAGTTCATTTCTCATATATACAGTAGCAATGAATTTTAACCACTTTGGAGGTCGGACAGATTTTGGCATGTTGGAGATGGACATCCCAGTATTATGTCAACAATTTAAAAAAAAAAGATCAGTTTTATCTATCACTACTATTTGAAAATTGTGGAAGGTTTGAACCCAGGAGTCATTTCAAAAGGTTGAGTTTGATTGTCCGGGTGAACATAGTCCTGAAAGGACTGTTGTTGTTGACAGTGACCGACGTTTCAACAACCTGTGCGGTAGCCATCTTCAGAGTCAAAGTGAGTTGTATCACGTCAGTTGATGGTATTATACTCTGGTTATTGATCTGATTGGTCAATTATGTCGCGATGTTATTGGTCGTCTGTCAGTTAAGGCGTGATGTTTTTGGCCATGAAGACTCGTAATCAGTGATTGGTGTGTTTCGATCCGTCTATTGTCACAGTTAAACAGTCATCTATTTTTAGTCAAATTGTCAGTTCTCCAGTTGTTCTCTCGTAGTTAGTTTTGCTTGATCTCGTCAATAAGTTGTTTGTATGGCGCTGGTAACTGTTGGCTACGATTCAGTGGCATTTGTTCTAAGTTAGTAAACCAGCTTTCTAAAGTAACACGTTGATAGTAGTCTGTAGAATACGTAATACATGTCGCAGAGTCTCAGTCAATTTGATGTTTCGTCTTTAAGTGGTGCTCAGCAATGTGATTGTTGTCGTCACCATTCCTTGTCGCACGTTTGTGTTCGGTCAGGCACGTGCTTAGGTTTCTGCCGGTTTCACCAATGTAAGAAGCCTGGCAGTCGCAGCATTTGACCTTGTATACTGCTTCCTGTCTGTCGTCCGGTTTGTCTTTGTCCTTGACATTAGTAAGCAGTCGCCGTAAAGTGGTTATCAGTTTGTGCGCAACACGTATATTGTAAGGTTGTAATGTACGTGCAATAGTTTCATAGGTGCCTGTGATGTATGGTATAGTCGCTGTCGTAACAGGGCCAAAGTTCGTCTGAGAGTTGGAATCAGTGTTACTGTGAGTGTTCCGTGTAACAAAGTCCGTGTTGTAATTGTTCTTACTAAAAACGTTGTTAAGATAATCAGTCTCCTCTTGTAGGCTGTCAGGTGAGTCGCAAACTAGTTGCGCTCTTCTCGTCAGAGTCCAGACAGTAGTAGCCTTGTGAGAGGTCGCGATGTACGAAGACTGGTCTAGTAATTGGTTGGTATGTGTCGGTTTTCTGTAAATAGTCAATTTTAGTTTGTTGTTGTTACGAGTGACCAAGCAGTCTAGAAAAGGTATCTTACCATTTTCTTTGATCTCCTTGGTGAACTGTATGTCCGCGTTCTGTCTGTTAAGGTGTTCGTGAAAACTCTCAGGTATTCCTACCATTGTTATGTTTCTTATAATCAGACCACACATTTGTGCTAATTCAGGATTTCTTAAAAAGGGGAATTTGTACGAATGTGCTCACTGATGAAATTAGTAATTTCTAAGATGAGGCTTACTGCCTTTGACTATAAATTTTGTTCCACATTTTCAAGTTATCCCTTACTCAGTGATAAAATTATGCATAGTCCAACTGGCAAAGCCAGAATAACCTTCTTGTTGAGGGCACTTGGAAAAAGCATTGATACTGATAAGATCAGACACAATCTGCCACACTGACTCTTCTTGACATTTCTCACTTTGGATGGTTTCCTGTAAAAGCCGGATCAACGATGACCAATCAGGGATCAGTTGAAAATATATCAAACAAATTACCCCTGTGTGACTCAGGAGGGGGTTGTCAGTTTTATGTTGTGAGCTAAGCCAAAAAACAACAGAAATGTGGATGCCTATGAATGGCAAGTCTGATGAAAGTTTCAAAGTTTTCCTTATAGACAGAGCCCTATTGCTAAAATGACATGGTTTTGTGAGGAACACCAGTGGAATTATCATGAAAAATATAATTGTCATTATTCTAGTCTCGGTAGGTTGTCCCAAAGTGTTTTATACTTTCTAACATGTAACAGTCAATAATTCACTATAGGCTCGACAGTGTGTTTATGACCCAGAGGGACATGAGTGATAAGTACACCATCCAAAACAAGCTCGGTTCAACCTACCTATGGGTCAGCAATACAAAAGAATTCTTTCCAGCGCTTCTTAAAGTAATACGCACCACGTATGAGAAAAGCGAAGATTGTTGGAAAATGGTCCCAGTGAAGGTATAGTTTCGAACTTTTTTCTTTTGAACGCTAGGTACGATCTTGGGTATTAAAGTAGACCACATGGCATAGTTGAGTACTACAACCCTGGTCAAAACGTCTTGGGACACTTGGGGAAATTAGGCACAAAGACGCACTTTGCTAAATTAACTCGTGTTCTACCTCTTAAAAAAGCTTGAGGATGTTGTTATAAGGGGCTATTTCTGCTACCCCCTCTCCCCCAAGCAGTGTTGATTATGTTGAATTAAAACTTAAATGCATAACGTCAACATTGCACCGACGGGGAAACGGGGGGGGGGGGGAAGGGGGCCTCAATTTGACGGCCCTTTGGGGTGGTGGGCCAAGAGTTTGTCCCAGTGTTGGAGTTTGATTAATGACTTTGTTTTTTGGGGGCTCAACCTCCTCCTTGTAAACCTGAG